GTACATCCTACCTTCCAGAAAGTGGTCGCTTTTCTGTTCAGAGAGTTGTTGCTATTCCTTTCTTCGATCTCCTGTTGAGTTTGTAGGTGTTTAGAATGGTTTGATCCCTATCCAGCTGAATTCCTGAGAGGAGACGAAATCCAGGTCTCCTACTCCTCCGCCGTCTTGCTCCGCCCCTTCCTTCTCCTTTCTAATAGACCTCTTTGGGTATATGTGCCCACTTGGCTCTGACTGCCCTGCATTGAGAATTGCTCCAAGAACCCAGTGGCTGGGTTCCCACAAAGCAACATTTGTATTACTGACCTCACTCCTTGGGTGTAGCTGATGGAACCAGTGGTAGATATCTGACTCAAGCTGGGAAAATTATTCTGTCTCCTTGGAATTTAGAAATGGCACTGAAAAATAGCAGGTTAATTTCAACTTCTTTTCTGAACAGGAGAAATATAAACTGAGGAATTGTATGAGGTTTCAGGTGTGTCTTGAAAATGGGAGATTTAGAGAAAGTCAACCTGCAGAGGCAGGACCGAAGGAACTGGATTCAGAAACAAGAGGCAAAGTGCAGGCAATTCTTCTGATCTAAGTCCTTCCTGCTGTCTAGCCACTCTCTTGCCCTGGTCCCATGAAGCATTCTCATGCCCTTTTAAATAAATGTGGTTTTTTTTGTGTAAGCTATCTCAAGTTGGTTTCTGTTCCCTGCAATAACCGTAATAAATAATAATGAATAATCCTAACTAACAGGGCATCCATCCCCCCCACTGGACTATATGTTCTTTGAGATTGGGGATTGTATACTGGTCATCTTTTATATATCCCCAGTCTCCAGTACAGAGCTTAGCAGCGAGTAAGCACTCAATAAATATGGCTTGCACAGAAATATCACTATAAACAAGAATATAGCTATAAATAATTTCTTCACAATTTACAGATCTTCCTTGACTTACAATGAGGTTATGGCCTGATAAACCCATTGTAAGTTGAATATACTGTAAATTGAAAATGCATGTAATACACCTGACCTACTGAACACCATAGCTTAGCCTACCTTAAACTTGCTCAGAACACTCACATTAGCCTACTGTTGGGCAGAATCATCTCAAAGAAAGCCTATTTTATAATAAAGTGTTTAATAACTCATGTAATTTATTGACTACTGTACTGAAAGTGAAAAAAAAAACACAAAACAGAATGGTTGTATAGGTGCATAATGGATGTAAGTGTATTGGCTGTTTACCTTTGTGATCACGTGGCTGACTGGGGGCTGTGCCTGCCACTGCCCAGCATCAGGGGAGGATTGTACTGCATATCGCCACTCCGGGCAAAGATCAAAATTCAAATTCAAAGTACAATTAATACTGAATGAGTATTACTTTCTCACACCATAAAGTCAAAAGCATGTGAGTCAAACCATCATAAGTCGGGGACCATCTGTATACTTTATTAGTTACAGGTTCAGAATGCTTTTTCTCTGTTTCTCTCCATTTAGCTTCTTGATACACAATTTCATTTTCACTTTTTATAATCTAACTGTTTCATTTAGGCCATATGTGAAAAACCTATTCTTGGAAATTGATTACCCAAATTTAGCTGCCCATATCATTTATTCCTCCAGTCTGAGGTAGAGTCAAATGTAATTATGAGGGGTACCCTAATCGCTGAGGTTGAGCCTCAAGTAGGACTGCCGAATCCTTCTAAGAAATGCCCATTGGATCGCCTGTCAGAGGCAGAGCTGTGTATTAGAGGACCAGAGGTTTGACCCACCAGCATTTCTATCCTTGTAACATCAGAGAAGAGCTACAAAAATATATTGCCTCTCAGTTTTATTTTTTTCCTCAGAGCAATGTTGGTAGTAAGGTGAAACGGGAATGGTGAGGGGGTAAAATGAATAAAGAGGTATGGTTGATATCAATGTGTCCTGCTCACAGGCCTCAGGATGAAGCTAACTTGAGTAAGTCTGCATTTTTCCTAAACAGACCATTAAGCATCAATAGACAACAAAGGGTTTACTTAGGACAAATTTGAGGGGATGGAAACAAAACTCCATTAGTGTTCTGATTGCCGTATGAAAGCTAAGAAATCTGGATTCCCTTCTGTTACCCAATGTTCTCCCTCCCCTCCCCTGTGCTTCAGGCGGCTCAGTCCAAGCGTTTCATGCTAAAATGGATGGTTATTTATTTTAATCCTTCATAGGTTATAGCATGTCGGAGACTTAAATTCAATTAAGGGTAACCAAATAGAGTTTATGAAAATGAGAAAAAATAAATATTTTGAAAAGCTGAACCAATTAATGAAATGAAAGAAACAAGTCCTTCTAGACATGATTTTGGAAATGTAAGTAGGAAATCCAAGTCATAATCTAGGATGGACAGAATTGAAAGCATCCTTGAAATCATGTCTCAGAATCTTTCTCAGTTGAATAACTCACCCAAATTAACAATTTCCCCTATCTCAACTTTTCTCCCACATTTACAGGAGTGAGGCTTAAATCATCCTGAGCTGGTCTATGATATTGTGCCTACTGCATCATCAGTAATCTCAAAATCAGAATGTATAGGAAGACAGAACTAAAAGAAAGTGTCACTGACACTAACTGAGGCACAGGGATGGGGTGGCATGGAGTCTCAGACAGTAAAATATATAAATCTTAAAAATTCTATGCCATTTTACTCTTTTCAAATATAGTATATAAAAAGTCAGATTAATGAAAAAGATGCCCTTCTAGGCCTCCTTCCATGAATGGATGAGATCAATGGGAAATAAATAGCAACAGTTGCACACAAACATCAAGTTCAATTCACTGAAAATAACTATTTCTTCAAATTAATATGCTTTTAGAAAAAGCATTTATACTCTCATCTTAACTCAAACCTTCTTTGTGAGAACCTAGGGAAATGCTGAAGACTGCTCAAGCCTGGTTATCACTGATTGAAAATATATAGAATCAAATTGGTGAAATCATACTATAGGTCATAAATTAAGACTCTAAACTGTATACTCTTTATTGAAAATTAGTAGTAGGAGTCAGCATAAGATGTATAGAACTCTCACCGAGAAGGGAAAAGTTGTTTAAGTTCACATTATATGTGAATTAAGGAAGGAAAAGAATGGCTATTTGGAAAATAATCAGTTGCACTTAGCTAGCTGGTTTCTGAATTTCTGTTTTAACTCTTCCTCCTATGTAAAATCTGGATAATAAGAGAATCTATTTCGCAGAGTGATCATGAGGATGATATCAGATAAAGATACCAAAAGTGTGTTTGGAAATCGAAGTGCTGATCAATAATAATAGTGAACATTCAAATTGTACTTATGTGTTACAAATACTATTCTAAATCTTCATATACATTAATTTATTCAATCGTCACAAAACCCTCATGGTAGACATTAACATTATCCTTATTTTACAGATGATGAAATTCAGGCACAGAAACTTCATATAATTTTCCCAAGGTCACACAGCTGGGATTTAAACTTAGGTTGTCTGGCTCCACAGTCCAAACTTATAATCACTATGCTCCACTGCCTCTCAAAAGTTGACATCATTCTTGGAGGTACATATTGGGCCAATAGAGTCTTGCAGTAAGGATGAGTTTTTAGCAGACTGGATCATTGGTTTTCCTTGGCAGCCCAGCCCAATTTTGTGATACCCTATCCAGTTCCTAAAATAAACCATAAGGAAAATAAACCTACAAGGAAAAGATAGGATGCGTGTCCTTTACTCCTGCGTCTTCCAACTCTGTCTCAGTAAATAGTATTTCACGATCAAGGTAGATAGATAGTTGATTAGACTGAGGGCCAAATGAAACTGAATAGTTTCATTCTTGAAAGTCCCTAATACACCCAAGGAATAAGACTCAGTAATACAATATAGTGGCTCACCCCAGCATGCAGTTCTCATGGTGGGGTAGGGGAGGATAATGTGCATTTTGATAAAGCTCATTCTGATATATCTTTCCTCTGATCCCTTCCCCTGGCCACCTTCCAATTTTGAGTCACTGCCCTGTGGTCAGATGTGAAGATCTGATTTTGATTTCATCAAAATCATTTATAAATATTGCTTTCAGTATGCCTCACAAAAAGAGGCAAAACTTAATGGGTGCAATGAAGACAAAAGTAAAAAGGACACCAATATCCCCTCACTGAAAAACTGATACAGTATAAACAGAGGTTTACAGGGAAGAATGAACAACATTTCTTTCATCGAAGGTGTTATTTATAATTGATGACATGGATATAGCAGGATTCTAAACCCAAGCTGTAGCATCTGAAGGAAAAGATCAAAGCCATTTGCTAGGTGTTCTAAAGTTATGACAATATCTGGATTAAATTAATGACTAAAGCCATGCAAAAAATCATAGATAATGTAGGAAATCATGAGGCGAAACCCAACTCAACTTGATTTAAAATCTTCACCTCCATGCTAAATAATGTTTCCCTATCCCACCTTAGATCTTGTCTTGTCCTTGTCCCCAGCTCCTGCCTCACCTCCTCTTCACTACCAACATACAGACATGAAGTTTTCCAGAGGAAAGCAAACCAGTAAGCAGCCAATGAACTAATCTTTGACAGGTTAAATAACCAGCCCTGTGTGTTGTTTGTCAGGGGGGCAGGGTTCCACTTTGTGGGGTGGGCGTCAGGGATGGGGTGAGGCAAAAATAATCAGTGGTCAAATATTTGGAAACACTTACCTTGAGTAGACCCAGCTGGAGCCTCCATGTCACAACAAACAGGAGAGAATTTAAAACCTGTAATACCAAACATTTTACGAATTAATCCTTATCCAACTCAGCTGGGATTCTTCAATCTTTAGCCCATATCCTTCATCTGGTAGTATTTTTTCAGTAACAGATTCAATGAAATATGATTCACATATCATAATGTTCACATTCTTAAAATGTATAATTCAGTAGTTTTTAGTACTTTCACAGAGTTCTGTAACCATCACAATATATAATTCCAGAATTACTTCATTACCTCAAAAGAAACCCCATACACCTAGGGTCTTACAGAAGTGGAAGAATGGTGGAAACCCATGGAGAAATTTCTTTTATTTTAATGTTTCGATGCAGTGAACTGGCTATATTACTTCATATGTCAGGAGTGACATGAAGGACAACAAGAAGTCTCGGTGATGCAGGAGATCATTTAACACTCCTTTTCACGTAAATGTGGTCATTAGTTTTTCTGTTTCACAGCTGAAGCCCAGAAAACTTTAGAGACCAGTCCAAGGTCTCATAACTTCCATCCTAATGCTCTTTCACTTACATGACTATGCATACATAGATCATCTATGTTCCCTTCTCATTTCCATAATTCTCCTCCTCGCTCTTGGCCAAAGCCAGCAATATATACATACATACATACATGAAAATAAACTAAAACAAAATCAAGACCCCAAGGATACTTGGTGATATTACAAAATGTTATGGTCTATCATTAAGGAAATGATATTTTAACTAGTGGGCAAATGGTCATTCCTGATTGTATCATTGTGGCCAGTGTCCCCTATGGGCTGAACCAGGCAGAGGAGGATAGAATAGAAAAAGCTGTAGGTATAGGACGGTTGGCTACCTCTCTGCCACCTGAGAAAATACTAATTAGTCACTGCTCACAGAGCAGGCCTGTGGTCACGGTAATGGCATCTATGAAGTTTAGACAAACAGAATGATGAAGAGCCTAGATTAATGTGTTTAATAAGTATTAATGTGCTTTTTATGAAAGGATTCCATAAGAGTAGGGACAGAGGAACAGAAATAAAATAAACTAACCTCTTCCCAACAAATCAAAAAGACAAAGCTTTTCTGTTTCTAAAAGTTGTAAGAAAAGAATATATAATTACAATTTAATGATACTGTATTATTACTTACTGTCTGGCAAATGGCTGAAGTTAATTTACCTTCTGGGTTTTTTTTTAATTGTTTCAGTCTAACCTGGTTAATTTGAATCTGTCTGTACACTTGACAGGTTAATCTGAATTAAGAGAGCACATACAGTCATTCATCTCACTGTTCATATATTGATATAAAGCCAAAATACATGAAATGAGTACTTTCTATAATAAACACCACTAGTAGTGCACTGGAAAATAAAGATGAAAATAAAAGGTGAGTAATAAATACAACATGCACAATATCGCTGACGACATGAGATTATTTCCCTTGGGGGAATCACCAGAAATAAAAAGCATTTTATCTATCATTATAAATAAATGTGTCTATTTGCCAGATACTTGGGTACATACCTTGTCTATGGGAACCCACTAACCTGCATTTCTAAGTTGCACAGTACATGAAAGATAAGCAGACATAGGGAAGGAAAACAAATCAAAGGCTAAAAATCGCATTTTCTCTGGGTTTTACTTAAACAGTATAGATAGTTCTATTACCATTCTCCCCATCCGACTTCCTTTCATGTTCTGTGTCAGTCAAGGACAGTGCAGAGTTGGCCCGGCTGGACAAACAGGAACTGTGTTCTGATTTCATCCCCCGTATCCACATTCTCAGAGCGTGGTCAGGTGAGGCCGCCCCTTCCGTCTCCGTGTCCACATCAGAGCCCATCTCTAGCTGGTAGCCATGCCGAGAAACACTGTGCATGTCTGTCTGGTAGCCAGAGCACAGAGTGTGAGGAGTTTCACAGAATTCCATCTCTGAGAAGAAATGAAGTTCAGAGAAAAAGTTTAGAAATAGGAAGAAAGACCCGATAAAATTCTACTTTTTGTCCTTATCCCCTCCCTCCCCCCTTGCTAATAATTATGTGCTTTTGCAAACTTAGAATTCTGGCCTTTTTATTTATGGTAGCTAGGCTTCTGTGCTTATTTTGCACTTCTGTGTCTGAAAATTATGCTCCTGTTGATTCTTACAAGGCTCTGGAAAAAGCATGCCCAAAATAGCTTTATAGCTACAATTTTAGGTTACACAAAATGTAATGAAATAAGTGAGTGCAAAGGAGTACAAAGTGTAGAAAGCTGTCCTTTAAAAGATATTTTTCTCCGGGGTGCCTGCGTGCCTCAGTCGTTAAGCGTCTGCCTTTGGCTCAGGTCATGATCCCAGGGTCCTGGGATCGAGCCCCGCATCGGGCTCCCTGCTCAGCAGGAAGCCTGCCTCAGTCGTTAAGCGTCTGCCTTTGGCTCAGGTCATGATCCCAGGGTCCTGGGATCGAGCCCCGCATCGGGCTCCCTGCTCAGCAGGGAACCTGTTTTTCCCTCTCCCTCTGCCACTCTCCCTGCTTGTGCTCTCTCTGTCAAATAAATAAATAAAATCTTTAAAAAAAAAAAAAGATATTTCTCTTCTAAGAAGAATATATATGATCTATAGAGCACAGCTATGCTTAAAATATTAAAATTATTGGCTTTCCTAAGTATTTCATACACATTAAGGTTAAGAATAAAAAATTCAATGTGAAAAATCTGGGGAAAAACATTACATATTTAAACATACTTCTCTAAAGTCTGTTTCCCAAAACACATTAGCCAGCCACTGAAACTATGAGTGCTTAATGTCATTATTTCCCATTGTCTCCAAAGGAGTTTGAGGCCTACCTGAGGCTAATTATTCTGCTTCATTCATTCTTTCAACAAATACATAAAAAATATTCAATTGTATATTACACCTCAGCAGGGCTTCACGGTTGGGATTCCCCCCACCCTTTCTCCCAAGTCTTAGATCTCTATAATGCTTAGGATCTTAGCGATGCTGTAATGAATCCCCTCTTTTTACAGTTGAGGAAAATAAGGTCCAGAGAGTAGGTATCATTTGTCTATTGCCCGTGTCAGGTAGCAACAGATCCCTTTTTCCTAAAACACCCATCTGGGCATGGTTTCTGCTAGACACCGGCGAAACCCCATCCACTTATTGCATGAATATCAGGCATTCAGTCTTACAGTCAATCTTGCATTCAATTATGGCAAGGTGTCAAAAAGGGGAAAAGATACTTTAACAGTCCCTAATAAGTTAATGAAAAATGACCACATGCCAAGATATATCATCTGAAATGTCCATGTAATACTTAGATAAGGTAATCCGGGGATGTTGTACACTATATAGGATTTTCTCAGACTGACATCAGAGACAGGGTATGTCATTTGGCCAGGAGGAAGCTTAACTGAATGCATCTAATCCTTAGCACATATCAATAAAATGCAAACCCTAAAATGAAATTAATTCTTTGAATACAGAAAGTGATAGAATTTAGATAGACCATACACTAGAAAGAAGAGTGCAGAATATGAATATGTGTTTCAAAAATAGCTGTTTTTGTAACATATAATTGCCAAAAAAGGGTTTAATGAATCAAATCTTAATGCTTATTTAATAGCCATTAGGTGCTCAGCACTGTGCTCTACAAAACAGATACTGTGGGCAGAGAAGGCTACTATAATGTATTAGGATAATTCAATTATAAATTAATTTTTTCAGGGTTATAAGTCACTGCTAAGCACATTACTGATGATTTCTGTGCTGCATGTCTCTAAGAGTAATTCTGTTTTTCTACAAAAATTTGTCTAAATTCCAAAGGAGTAATGTTTTAAAAATAGGCATGGTTTCCACCTGTCAAACATATAACCTCAGGAAACTGTGCTTCTCCTTGACATAAGGCTAAAAGTAAAAATCCATTTTGCCCAGTATAAATCTTAGTGATCTAGAATATTGTGACCAATTAATATTCATGCCTCTTATTTTCACAGTGTTTCATTATCCAATCCTACTGTGCAATTGTTGCTACAGCAACCTGATCGTGAACCTGTCAGCTTGAAGCTGCAGGAAAGGAATTTTATATAGGCCTGCATTCACAACTTCTTTCCCTCCCCTAGACCAACGCTTCCCAAACTTCAGGATGCTTCAGAATCATAACCTGGAAGGCTTGTTTAAAACACAGATTGCGGGGCGCCTGGGTGGCTCAGTCGTTAAGCGTCTGCCTTCGGCTCAGGTCATGATCCCAGGGTCCTGGAATCGAGCCCCGCATCGGGCTCCCTGCTCCGCGGGAAGCCTGCTTCTCCCTCTCCCACTCCCACTGCTTGTGTTCCCTCTCTCGCTGTATCTCTCTCTGTCAAATAAATAAAATCTTTAAAAAAAATAAAATAAAATAAAACACAGATTGCTGTGCCTGCCCTCCAGTTTCAGTTTCTGATTCCGCAGGTCTGGAGGAAGGCTGGAGAATCTGCATTTCTATCAAGTTCCCAGGTAAAGCCTGGGACCGCACCTTGAAAACTCCATCCCTGGATATTTCCTGAAGTCAGTGGGAGCCAGGAAAAGGGGCGAAGTGAGAGAGCAACCTTACTGGGGCATTACCAAAGATTCTGCAGCAACCAGCTGTAATTCTATTTGGAGATGCAAGAAAGAAAGCATTTGAATTGAATTGCTATGAAGTGTCCCCATTTATTTTCCATGGATTCAGGGCACTAATTAGGAAATTTACTTTCAAAAGCACAGACTTGCATTTATTTTCACTCATACAATGGCACTGAGATGTTATTTTCCAAAGATTACAACATGAGCATCTGAGTCATGGAAAGACATTCACTGGAAAAGGATGAGCAAATAAAAATAAATACACAGCCAATTTGACATTCTGTATAATAAAATACTAGATACGGTTAAAAAATAAAGATCACTGGCAAGTGTAAGAAGAATGTCTTTTTGTTAAAGAGATTTATTTCCCATTCAAAAAGAAATCTGAACATGGATTTGTTCCCTTCTAAGGAAATGTGGTGTAATATGATCAAAAAATTGCATAAGATTTCTATTGGCACCATAGTCTGATCTGAATACAAAGATTAAACCACAAATTCTCTAATTAAATACAACCAGATAAAAGTACACTTCCCTTGGTGATACATAATTAGAAAAAGTAACAATCCAAGTAAGCTATCAGTTGCTTTTTTAATGTCTAAAAAAAATAAAAGGAGAGAAAGAAAAGAAAACATTTCCCTTACTTACAGTAAATGATGTGAACACTTCCCTTTCTTGAAATCAACATTACCACTGTGAATTATTTCCTTAAATACACAAAAGTCTTGGTGGTGTTCAAAATTCCCATAGGATGAATTTTCTATAAAGCTCTTACAATGCACCTTAAGTGGTTGTTTTTAGCCTTGCACATATAGCCTTGTTACCTAAAATACTACATATTCCCTAGAGAAGATGAAGTTCAATTGGATTTATTATAGGTCTATTCTTAACCAAAAAGCTAACCATAAGAGAAATGAAAGTACAATCTTAGGATATCTAAGATTTAAATGGATAGACTGGTACCATGAGAAATTACAATTCGGGAATAAACAGATACAGATGTTGCCAAGTGAATGAAGTACTTGGAGCTTCACAAACATGTATTTAAATTTTATTATAAGGAAAACCTATATTGCAGTCTTGTAAGAGACAAAATCTGAGCAAATCAATACAGTTGAAATCCAATTTTTGAAGGGGGCAAAAGATTTGAATAAATGCCTCACAAAAAAAGGTATACAGATAACCAATAAGCAACTGAAAAGATGCTCCACATCATTAGTCATCAGGAAAATGTAAACTAAAACTGCAATGAGACACCACTACAGCCCTAACCATAATGGCTAAAAAACTTCCGACCACACCAAGTGTTGACAAGGATGTGGAGCAACCATATACACTGCTAGTGAGAAAGTAAAATGGTACAACCACTTTGGAAAGCAATTTGCCAGTTTCCTGAAAATGTAAAGCAATCCTTAACAGGAGAGCAATGCACTCCTGGATACCTAGCCTAAAGAAATGAAAACTTTTGTCCAAACAAAATTATATACAAGATTTAGCTTTATTTACAATAGCTAAAAAGAAGACACAGCCCAAGTGTCCATAAAGAACTGAAAGGAGGGGCGCCTGGGTGGCTCAGTTTATTAAGCATCTGCCTTCAGCTCAGGTCATGATCCCAGGGTCCTGGGATCAAGCCCCACATCGGGCTCCCTGCTCAGCTGGGAGACTGATTCTCCCTTTCCCCTCTGCTCCTGCTCTCTCTCTCTCTTGCTATCTTTCTCAAATAAATAAATAAAATCTTTAAAAAAAAAAGCTGAAAGGATAAACTACCTGTGGTAGATCTATACACACAGGATGTATGGAATAGTACTCAGTCCTAAAAATGAATGAACTATTGATACATGGCAAGATGCATGGACCTCAAAATAATTTTGCTGTGGGAAAGAAGACCAACAGCATGTCTATATGTATGTTTCCCTTTCAATAAAATTCTAGAAAACGCAAACCCATCTACAGTGACAAAGAATAGATTAGCAGTTGCCCGAGGGAGAGAGTGAGGGGGAAGTATAGGACAAAGGCACGCAAGGAAACATTTGGGATGATCTACATGTTTGTTCTCTTGATTGTGACAATAGTTTCACATGTGTATACATGCTGAAGTTTATCAGTTGTACACTTTAAGTGTGTGTAGTTTACTGTACTTGAATTATACCTCTATTGATTTTTTTTAGTGGATTTTATACCACCAAGAAATAGGACAGTGAGGAGACTGGAGAATCAGTTGATTTTCATAGATGGGGCCACAGGTCTCGAGTTAGAAGCAGGCCCTACTCTTTTCCTCCTCGTGGAAGAAAGCACATGTAACATGAAGGAAAATGTAGTCAAAATGCTGTCTTGCTTTTTGTCTAAGCCAACAAGCCAT